CCTATTGAAGGATATCTTGGTTGGCTCTAAGTTGGGGAAAATATAAATAAAGCTACTTTTAAACATTTATGGGCAGATTTTTGTTTGGACGTGAGTTTTTGATTCATTTAGGTAAAGACTGAGGAGTACAATTGCTGGATGGCATGGAAACAGTGTTGTTTAGTATCATAAGAAACTACCAAACTGTCTATACTATGTTGCATTCCAACTCCCAAATTGCTATCCTGTTTTGCATTCCCACCAGTAGTGAAGGAGAGCTCTTGTTGCTTATATCCTCATCCATATTGGGGGTTATCACCTGGGCGCAGTGGCTGGGGAGGCTGAGGCAGGAGGATTGTGAGTTCAAAGCCAGCCTCATCATCTTAATGAGGTCCTAAGCAACTCAGCAAGACCCTGTTTCTAAATAAAGTATAGAAAAGGGCTGGGGGCTGGGGTTGTGGCTCAGTGGTGGAGCGCTTGCCTTGCACATGTGAGGCACTGGGTTTGATCCTCAGCACTACATAAAATAAATCAAGGTATTGTGCTTATCTATAACTAAAAAAATGTATTTAAAGAAAGGGGTTGGGGATGTGGCTCAGTGGTTAAACATTCTGGGTTCAATCCCTAGTACCTCACCCCAAAAAATGGTGTCGTCATTGTTCGGGACTTTAGTCATTCAAATGACATAGGATGGTAACTCATTTTGTTGTTTAATAATTCTCTAACAACTTATGATGTTGAACATCTTTTCATATGCTTACTGGCCATCATTATATCTTCTTTGGAGAGGTGCCCAGTCAGGTCTTTTGTTCATTTTTTAAATAAAGTTTATTCATTTCTTATCATTAGTTAGAAGTGTTCTTTGTATCTTTTCAATAATAGTTCTTTATGAGATATGGTTTTTGCAAATATTATCTCCCAATTTGGCACTTGTCTTCTCATTCTTTTGACCATGTCTTTTACAGAGCAGAAGTTTTTCCTTTTTGCAAATCCAGCTTATTTCAATCCATGAAATTATTTCTTTCATGGATTATGTCTTTCTTGTTGTATCTGAAAAGTCATCACCACACCCAAGGTCACCTTGATATTCTGCTATGATATCTTCTAGTAGTTTGATAGTTTGGCATATTACATTCAGTTGTAGGATCCATTTTGATTTATTTTTTGTGAAGAGTGTAAGATCTGCGTGTAGATTGTTATTATTATTGGCATGTGGATGTGCAGGTGTTTCAGCATCATTTATTGCAAAGACTACTTAGCTCCATTATATTGCCTTTGTTCCTTTGTCATACATCAGTTGGCTATATTCATGTACACCTATTTCTGGGCTCTCCATTCTGATCCATGGATCTAGTTGTCTGTTATTTATCCAGTATCACATGGCCTTGATTACTGTAGCTTCATACTGACTCTGCATTTGTCAGTCCTCTTTGTTCTTCTACTTTGATACTGAGTCATCTACTAAGGGTTTCTTGCATCTCAAAATAAACTTTAGAATCAGTTTGTCAGTATCCACAACACAACTTGCTGGGATCTGATAAATATTGCACAGAATCTGTAGATCAACTTATGAAGAAGTGACTTCTTTTTTTACACATTTTGTTTTTTTATTTGTAGTTGGACACAATACCTTTATTTTATTTTTATGTTGTGCTGAGGATTGAACCCAGCACCCCGAATGTGCTAGGCAAGCACTAGACCACTGAGCCACAACCCCCAAGAAGTGACATCTTAATAATGTTGAATCTTCTACTATTATTTATTTAAATATATGGTACAGGGATTGAACCCTTGGCCTTGCACATGATAAGCAAGCACCCTATCACTGAGTGGCATCCCCAGCTCATTTCACTGGAATTATAGACATGGGCCACCATGCCCAGAAACAATGTTGAATCTTCTAATTTGTGAACACCTAAATCTTAATCTCTGAATTTATTTAGTTATCTTATTTTTCATCAGTTTTATAGTTTTCTTCATGGAGACCTTGTACATATTTTTGTTAGATTTATATCTAAGTATTTCATTTTGGGGGGAGGTGCTAATGTTAATGATAGTATGTTTTTATTTATTTTTAAGTTTTCTTTGTGTATGTGTGTGTGTGGTACTGGGATTGAACATAGGGTTTCTCTATCACTGAGCTACAATCCCATCCCTTTTTAAAATTAATTAATTTTAACTTGGTGTTTTAGATATATATGACAGTAGATTGTATTTGACATATTATACATACATGAAGTGTAACTTCCCATTCTTGTGGTTGTACTTGATGTGGAGTTACACTGGTTGTGCATTCACATATGAACATAGGAAATTTATATCTGATTAATTCTACTGGCTTTCTTGCTCCCACTCCCCCTCCCTTCCCTTTATTCCACTTAGTCTAATCTAATGAGCTTCTATTCTTCCCACAACCCCTTACTGTGTATTAGCATCCACATATCAGAGAGAACATTCAGCCTTTGGTTTTGGGGGATTGGCTTATTTCACTTTAGCATGATGGTCTCTAGTTCTATACATTTACTGATAAATGCCATAATTTAATTCTTCTTTATGGCCAAGTAATATTCCATTGTGTATATAAACCATAGTTTACTTATACATTCATTTGTTGAAGGGCATCTAGATTGCTTCCATAGCTTAGCTATCGTGAGTTGAGCTGCTTTAAACATTGATGTGGCCATGCCACTATGGTATACTGTTTGGATTTAAGACAGTAGAGCAGATACTGAAATAAGACTTTAGGGGATGGTAGGATGGAATAATTGTATTGTACGTAAAAGGACATGAATGTTGGGGACAAAGTGGAGTGTTATGAATGTGTATGTTGAAGCCCTAATACAAAAAATGTGATACATTTGGAGGTAAGACCTTACTGGGTTTAGATCATGAGGATTTGGCCCTTGTGATGGGATTAATGTCTTTAGATTAATGTCCTTAAGAGAAGTGAAAGAAAAATCTGGACTCTTAGTATTCTCACATGTAAGGACACAGCAAGAAGTTGGCCATTTGTAAACTAGGAAGAGACTTCATCAACACTCAATCACGCTGGCACATTGATGCTGGACTTTCAAACTCACAGAATGTCCTTGAGAAGTAATTGTCTGCTATTACCCACCCAGTCCATAGTATTTTACCATGGAAGTTTCACTGGACTAAAAACCATTGCTAAGATATATCCAACCTCCACCCATGTTGAAGAACATTTAGGCCCAAGTTATTTCTAACAATGTTTCAATCCATGTTATACAAATTTTAAGTGATTAAAAAAACTCACAAATCTTCCAAATTCATTTTGCAAAAGCTAGCAAAATATCACCAGGTTTGATCTAGTTCTGTACTTGACAAAAAAAGAAAAAAATTCATTATGAACAAATCTTTTTTATTCAAGAAGTATGAGGAGATTTCAATTATTTGGAAACTTGTCAACAAAATGAATTTAAAATGACATAGACCATAAAATTACAATTTAAAAAAACTTCACAAAACTTAGCAACCAAGTAATTGCTACAGTACACACCATGTATCAAGCACTATTTCAAATATCTTATACATATTAACTTATTTAATCTCTAAAACCTGTGAGGTAGCTCCATTTTATAGATGGAAGAACTGAAATACAAAAAAGCTAAGTGACTTGGCCAGGGTCAATGCATAAAAGTCTGGTGTAGTAAGGTGAATCAGGATGCTGGGTACAACATTTATGCACTTAACCACGACACTGCTTCTTCCAAAGGCAGGAAGAAACGAAAACTTCCTAAGTACAACAGAATATTTATCAGAACCCAATAATGAACACCATATAAAACAAAACACTAAGAATTTCCCCCACCCCTGAGTTTAAAAAAAGACAAGCAATATCTGCTACATATTTAAAAACTTCTTGCTGATGTAAACATAAGTGGCATAAGATTGGAAGCTGATATAAACAAATCATTATTTATTATGTAACTACCTAGAAACTGAAAAACCACTAAAACTAAAAATAATTTTGCAAGGTAACTGGATCCTGATAAAATTTTTTAAAAAATGATACTTAGGGGGCTAGGGTTGTGGCTCAGCAGTAGAGTGCTCACCTAGCGTGAGTGAAGCTCTGGGTTTGATCCTCAGTACCTCATAAAAATAAATGAGTAAAATAAAGGTATTGTGTCCAACTGCAACAACAACAACAACAATAAATAAATAAATAATACTTAGCACTGGGCATGGTGGCACATTTCTGTAATCCCAGCAACTGGGGAGGGAGGCTGAGGCAGGAGGACAGAAAGTTTCCAGCCTCAGCAACTTAGTGAGACCCTGTCTCAAAATAAAAAGTAAAAGATTTAGGGATGCAGCTGAATGATAGAGCACTGCTAGGTTCAATTCCCAGTACTACAAAATAGTAATGATGACAATAATAATAATAAGGGGCTTGGGCTAGGGCTTAGTGGTATAGCACTCACCTGGCTGGCATGCATGGATTTAATCCTCAGCACCACATAAAAATAAAAGTACTGTGTCCACCTACAACTAAATATATATATACATATATATATATATAATAATAGTAGTAGTGGTAAAGTCATACTAACGATGAACAAAGAAAGGAAGTATGGCTTTTAAAGTCACAGCTATTTTCCCTCCATCCAAATGCCTGGGCTTTCTCAGGAATACAAGAGATTCATTTCTGCTGGACTATACACCCAATTGGTGATGTGGGAAAAGTTATGAATAATGTTGGTTCCCACTGCCAGAGATTTAGTGTGGTAGAGGATGCACAGACAAGGACTAGGAGGTAAAATTATAATATTAAACAGGCAGATAGTTCTACTGAAGATGTGACCAGAAACGTCTAACTCAGGGTGAAGGGCTAGATCCATAAGCTCATATAGCACCTGGTTGTTCCTTGGGATCAGGGAGCTCATTTCTTGGCTGCCCCACCAAAAAAAAAGTCCTATCATTTAAAGGAAAATAGAATAAAAAAATAAATACATACTAATAAATGACATAGTCCCAATTTTGTTTTGAATTCAGTAATTTTTTTAGATTCTGAAATGGATACTTTTTTGTTATTGTATTCTGGGGAGTATACTCAGGGCCTCATGCATGAGCACTTCCATTTTTAAAAATCTCAGTCCAGTATATGTAAGGAAGGGAGAGACTGCACCCACATTAAAGAAGGTTAGATTTGGGAGTTGGGTTTTAAAATGTTTTTAAGAACTAGTGCTCAACATAGTATGTTTTTGCAAAAACCAATAGATACCACACCCAATCTCAAAAACCTGAAAAGTTGGTAAGGAGTATACTCATATATTTTGAGAGCAATTTGTAAGGTAACTTAACAACAGTTGTACATTGCAGCATCAGTTAATTTAAAAGAATTGTGATCTAATCATAAGTTTAAAAGAAATCCAGAAGCATTTGAAGAAAAAAGTCTTTCAGAGATGAGATGGACTTTGAACAATAAATACAAGGAAACCAGATTACCAAATAGGAAGAAAACACAAGAGATGAGTGAATATATATTATAATATAAAACATGGATGTGGAGGGCCATAGCAAGGACTAGGAAAGAACAAACTGATAGAATGACTTATAAATGACCATAAAAATGCTCTGTGGAACAATATCGTGGAATGACTTTATGTAGTGAAATTGAGTAGCTGTAATAAAACACAGAAGACATAAACATTCCTGTTGACACACAATTTGATTATGAGATACATATTAACAAATGAGATAAATTTTAAAATAGGAAAAAGGAAGGAAGAAAAAAGCCAATCTATAAGTAAATTAAATGCCTAGACCTTTCTTTCCTAATGTAGGGAAGAATCACACTAAGTTTCTTCCACCTTAGTGACCAACTGGAAAACAATAGACAATGGTCTGCTTTGCTTAATGGTTCTAACAGGAGATCAGGGTGAACATCCTTCTTAAAGAAACCTTCATGCAAAGTCCCTTGTTCTCTGTCTCAGAAAACCATGCCTTATGATGCTGAGTGAGGCAGACCTGAGGGTTTCTCACCAGTGTGAGTTCGCTGGTGGTGATTAAAAGTGGAATGCTGACTAAAAGCTTTCCCACACTCAATACATTCATAAGGTTTCTCTCCAGTGTGAACTCTCTGGTGCACAATAAGCTGTGAACTGTCACTAAAGGCTTTCCCACAATCATTGCATTTGTAGGGCTTTTCCCCAGTATGGGTTCTCTGATGTACCATAAGGCTAGAGCTGTAACTGAACACCTTCCCACACTCATGACATTCATAGGGCTTCTCACCAGTGTGGATTCTCTGGTGTATAATGAGGTATGAATTTTGATTGAAGGATTTTCCACACTCATTGCATTTATAGGGTTTTTCACCTGTGTGAAGCCTCTGGTGCCGAATAAGGCACTTACTCAGACTGAAAGCCTTACCACACTCACTACATTCAAAGGGCTTTTCTCCAGTATGAATTCGTTCATGGTCAACAAGCTGACAAATCTGACTGAAGGCTTTCCCACATTCACTGCATTTGTATGGTTTCTCCCCAGTGTGGAGGCTCTGATGTCGAATAAGACATTTACTCCGACTAAAGGCCTTGCCACATTCATTACATTCATAAGGCTTCTCTCCAGTGTGGATCCTCTGATGGTCAATAAGACTTCTATTGGAACAGAAAGCTTTCCCACACTCAGTACACTTGTAAGGTTTCTTACCAGTGTGAAGAACCTGATGTCGGACAAGATTTTTACTCCGACTAAAAGCTGCCCCACATTCCTTGCATTCATAAGGTTTCTCCCCAGTATGGGTTCTCTGGTGATCAAATAGTTTGGAACTCTGATTAAAAGCTTTTGCACATTCATTACATTTATAAGGTTTCTCCCCATTATGAAGTCTCTGGTGTTGAATGAGATGGGAGCTGTGTCGATACGTCTTCCCACACTCACTGCATTCATAGGGTTTTTCCCCAGTGTGAGTTCTGAGGTGAACGATTAGCTGGGAGGTCTGCCTGAAGGTCTTACCACACTCATTACACTCATAGGGTTTCTCTCCAGTGTGGATTCTCTGGTGACCAATGAGGTGTGAACTCCAATTGAACACTTTGCCACATTCATCACACTGAAAGAATTTCTGTCCCTTTGGGACTCCTTGATATTCCTCAGGACTTGGGGACAGATTTGGATGTTCCCCTACTTCCTTATAATCCTCACATCTGTCTTTTGTGGAGTTCTTATCCTCATCTGTTATCTCCAAAAAATTGATTTCCAAACTGTTCCCCTCTTCATCTGAGGGCTGCCCTTCCAGCTTCCTCAAAGTATCTTCACAGACATCTTCAACTTCTGGTCCCATAGAAGTCACCCCAAAGAGTCCCCCTGGTGACCTATCAGATGACTCTGATCCTTTAGAAATGGTCTGCTTTGGAGTGAATTCAGAACTCTCCATCCTGTTCTCACCTGCTGCCAAAAGAAAGAAGAAAATAACCTTTACTCACTTCATGTCCTGTTCTGGAAACAGAACCAAGAGTCATATAATATATCATAAGGTTAAGGAATAAAAGAACACATTGAGAAGGGGAGAGAAAATAGAAAATATATCAGGGTTTTTTTTCTTCAGGATAGAAAAACAAAGAGGAGGAAGATGGTCAGTGGAGGAGGTAGAAAAGGAGATACCAGGACAGAAAGATGTTGAGCCAGAACAGATAATTACACAATCAGAAAGTAGGGGCCCAGGTGGCAAAGCATGATGCAATCTTCTAGAAGTCATACCATCTCAATATTAAAATGATGAATTCTATGTTCCTTTCTAAACATGACATTGTATGGTTCCATGCTTCTCAGAAAAGATGTTGGGAGAAAGAAAGCTGGCAAACACCTCATTTTAAATACAAGAAAGAGAAACAGCAAAGATGTGTGTTGATGAGAGATTATATTGTAAGGATATGACTAGGAAAATGTTTAAAAAGGAGAGATCTTGTATGACAGAAAAGTGACAAGATGTGAACATACTTTTCAACAGTGTTGAAAAGAATAGCAGAGCCAAAAAGTGGGAATACCATAGGTACCCAGGGCATTGCACTATAGGAGTCAGTTATGTACTCCTCTAAAAACCTAGGGATGTAGCTCAGTGGAAGCTCACCTGCCTTGCATGTGTGAGAAGGCCCTGAGTTCAATCTCTGGCATTAGAAAAAGAAATATAGAGAGCATCAATTATTTGAAGTTTGAATTAAATATGTTTGGGGATTTTTTTTGTACCTGGGATTGAACCCAGGGACACTGAATCACTGAGCCACATCCCCAGCCCTAGTTTGTATTTTATATAGAGACAGGGTAAAACTGAGTTGCTTAATGCCTCATTGGTGATGAGGCTTGCTTTGAACTCATGATTCTCCTATCTCAGCCTCCCAAGCTACTGGGATTAGAGGTGTGAGCCACTACGCCTTGAATGGAATCTTGATTCTCTAGAATAAGAAAGAAACTAGACAGATAAGTATTTCCCTGAAATTTTTAATTCTGGAATACAAAATCTGTACAGTAAAAAGCAGAGTAGTCAGTTATCACTAAAAACTACAACACTGGTTACTTTCAATCATGTCTTAACCAAGGCCAGGGCATCACATCATTACCATATGGAAAATTAAAAGTTAAAAGCTCAATGACTCTCATGTCCACCCTTTGTCAAGATGGCCACTGTTGTAAGTTTGTCAAGATGGCCACTGTTGTAAGTTTGTCAATCTCAGAACCTGCCCTTTCCCAGTCTTTGCAGACAGGGAAGCCCAAGCAGCCACACTTTGAGTCAGGTGACCCTGAGCATCACATGAGGTGACTGGGCGAGAGCTAGGCACTAGACCCAACTGTAATTTGTCTTTAGGTTAGTCATTAGTTTCTGTTGTGGCCTCAGCAGGACACTACCAAAATACAGATGATATTTAATAGCTATAGCATTTAGAACCCTTCTCTAAGTAAATTCTGACCTGAAAACTTGGCAAAACAATAGCAATTATGAGTGAGACCTAAAGCTGAAATGAAACATGGAACCAAGTCAAACCATTTGAAGCCACAATAAGACGAATGTATGAGGAAAACCAAAAACAGAATTGAGAAGGAACTATGATGGAGATACAAGTTTCAGAGTAAAGAAAGGGTAACAGTTGGAACAGGGAGTAGCTGTGTTTCAGTCACACTGGAATACTGGCATAAAATTCATTTGCTTGTGCTGCTGAGGCTCCTGGGCTGTCCTGGTTGTGGCTCATTCTCTTTGAGGCTCTGTTTCCTAGTCTGGTCTAGCTGATTGGTTTGTTCTGGGTTCCTGTTACTGTAGCCTTAAAACACATAGCTCCTTACTACCATAGACTAAGTGATTCTCAATTCCTTACAATCTAGAAAACTCAAACTAGGTACCATATGTCCCATCAATTGTGAAGTAAAGGAAATGCTCATCATTGTTAAAGCTGGGTATGGGTGCAGAGAGGTTCGGTATATACTGTTCTACTTTGGAAATTTTTATAATAAAAAGTGGGGGGAAACATAGTGGGAAAAATATACAGAATGAACTCTAAGAGAATCATTACCCAATGAGACCATGCTATAATAACTTCCTATCATCCTGTTCTGGTACAGGGCTCTCTGCCTGAGGGCAGAGCCTTTCCACTTTTTCTGTACATAATCTACAGAACTTAGTCTCCTGAAATGACAAGTTTCTACCACTCAAGAACAGTCCCAGCCTGAAGGGCAGAGTCATAAAGGGTGCACAGGGCACAGGGTACAGTCTCTTGATAACTTAAAGGATAAGTCTATGGTAAAACACTTGCCTAGCAAGCATGAGGCCCTGGGAACAATCCCTGGTACTGCAAAACAGGGGTAAAAAAAAGAAATGGAAAATCCAGGACAAAATAGAGTCCATTAACTGTGAATAGGGACCCAGCTCTAGGGGAAGCATTTAGGCATGAGCCTCAGGAGCTGCCTCAGGGCAGAGACCCATAGGTAAGCTCCAGTCACATTTGGATCATAGACATGGGAATTCGGGGGAAAATAAAAAAAAGAAAAGAAAAATCCATGCTCATCTGGGGCCTCACTGTTATTACTGGGATCTTATTTCCCCAAAAAGTTCATGTGTTGAAGGCTTGGTCCCCCATGCATTAGTGTTCAGAGGTGGGGCCTTTGGGAGGTAATTGAATCATAAGGGCTCTGACATTAGTAGATTCATGTACTTATTAGTAGATTCATGTACTTATGGATTCATTGTTTAATGGGCAATTGCAAAATACTACAAACTTTAGGAGATATGGACCTATTTGGAAAAGAGATGTCACTAAGGGCACACACTTAAGAATATATTTTATTCTCGGCCCCTTCTTATTTTTGCTGCTTCTGGGCCACCATGAGATGATCACCTTTATTCCACCACATGCTTCCCGCCATGATGTTCTGTCTTCCTCATCACATTCCTGTGAACAACATAGCCAAGTGGTCATGTACTGAAACCTTTGATACTATGAGCCTTTAAGTCTTTCTTCCTTTAATTTCATTTCTTCAGGCAGTTACAGAAATGGAAAGCTGACTAATATACTGATCATCTGAAGCACAGGAGCTGCTGCTTGGTTTCTTGAGTTCCCCATGTGGGAAAGGGCACAACTGTAGATGTAAGCTGAGTTGAGAGAGGAAAGAAAGTAGGCCAATCCCAGCCCTTGACTCCCATAAGGATTATATTACCAAGAAGAAGATTCAAGAGAACACAGGCAGCTCTATACACTGATTCTGGGCCTTCTTCCTACGGGCTTTATCTCACATGTGCTGTGACTGTTCCTTAAAGGGCATAATGGGAGGTCCCTGATCAAACTGAGAACTGGGTGTTCCTCTTAGCCTGCACTCTCTTTAACCTTCCTGAAAGAAGCTGTTTCTGACGATGTTCTCTCTGCCATGGCTTCCCTATCACCAGCCAAGCCTGATTTCCCCTCAGGTCTCTGGTCCCTTAAGTTCAGGTGTCTTCCTGTTCTGCCATGTCATGGACACTCTTGGAAGTCTAGCCTAGTGCTTCCTTCTTTTCTGTCAATGAATTCAGTGGTTCTCATGGCTTTCACACTTCTAGCTTCTCTCACTTGCTACCATGCACAATGCCCAGGATTTTATTCCCAGCACTGCAAAAAAAAAAAAAAAAATGAATGTACTTAATGCCACAAGTGGTTAAAAGGATAAATTTGTAGATTCTGTATGGCAAATGTCATGTATGTTTTATTTTATCAAATACTTCATCACAATACTACTCACAAATTTTTAGAAAGCAGAAGCATGACCCTATTCCATAATCAAAATGCATATGTACCAAAAGTAAAATATATATATGTATCATGCATGAGTGTACATGCTCCTGCACATGTATTTAACCCATTAAATCACAGGTTTTCAATTCTATGACTATTTCAACGAAATTGACAAGGGTACATTAAAATAGGTTGGAAATGATAACATGTAGCTTAAATATATATGTACATATGTGTGTGTCTTAAATGTGTATATATGTATTATATGAATTATATAATATTATGTATTACATTATATAATTTATATATTAATTGATGTTACCTTTAAATGTAATAAGGTTACTATATATTTATATTATACATTATATACTGTATTTGGGGGCTAGGGTAGTAGCTCAGTGGCAGAACGCTGGCCTAGCACGTGTGAGACCCTGGGTTTGATCCTCAGCACCACATAAAAAGTAAATGAATACGGTAAAAGGTATTGTGTACCACCTACAACTAAGAAAATATTTTAAAAAAAAAAAAAGTTCTTGGGGCTGGAGATGTAGCTCAGTGGCAGAGCACTTGCCTTGCAAGAATGAGGCTCTGGGTTCGATCCTCAGCACTACATAAAAATTAACAAATAAAAATAAAGACTGTGCCCATCTAATATATATATATATATATTTTTTTTTTTTTTTAATAAGTTCTTATGGGTGTTCCACATCAGGCACAATGGTGCCGAAAGGATTAACGTCAAGCTGTCTGGAGACTACAGGTCTCCACTTCCCTTCACCTACCCACCCGCGCTCTCTCACCGTTTCTATAGACCACGCCCTCGCGCACACTTGTGTGGGAGCGAACCTCTGGAGAGACCGGACTCCAGATTCTCCACACCCGGAGGCCGACCCCAGAGGCTCACAGAGCGGCCCCTCCCGGAGCAGCTAAAGACCGCCGCCCTCGGGCGTCCAACCCGCACAGCCGAGCTGCCAAGTGAAGGCGGTCGGGGTCCTGGTTTTTGGCTACCGCGCCGCCGCGTCGCGCATGCGTGTCGCTGCCAGGGCCGTCGCGCCTCTCTAGGACACCGGGAGGGTAGACGTCTCGGCTCCTCCCGGGCTGGGCGCCGCCAACCTGGGGGCCTGCGTGCTGCAGAACACCTTGCCCCTCCTCGCTTTGGGTTGCTGCTCACTTCGCATTCTCCTCCCAGGAAAGTTAGGGAGCCAAAGTAGGGGGTCAAAGTAGGAATTGCAAGCCCAGGAAAGCCTCCACTGTCCCGCCCCAGGGAAATTCCCCAACAAGGCTGTCCTAGTAAAGATGAGTTCCAAGCCCTAGCAGGCAACTCTTCAGCAGTGTTCAGGCAGCATGTGACTGTTTTCCCAGCACTGACACCCAATCACCTATTACAGAAACTTCACCTCCGTGGAAAAAACAGATAAGAAATGACACATGGAAATTGCAAATAGTTACAAATACTATATTGAAAATTAATAGGGTTATTTGAGTGACTGATTTTAATACATGTTTATTATTATTATTTTGGATGCCTTTTTCTGAGTTCTTAGCATCCTGCCTCCCACACACTGGTTTGGGTGGCCCAAGGAAATAGGGTCAATAAACTGGATAGTCATTGAGGCCATATCCTTAGGTCTACCCACTATAACACCCCATAAAATCCTTCCTGTCCTATTTCCCTGTGGAGGAAGAATGGGGGTTGGTATGTCTCTTAGCTGAGATCAGAGAAGCTGCGGGGGTAGGGATGTAGGCAGGGTAATAAGGAAGACTAGATAGGTTAAAGGGCAAACTTCCACAGAAAACTAAAATCCATGTCCAGAAATCAAAGCAAAGAGTATATTCAAAGTACTAGATAGAATGAGGGTCCAAGGTAAACTGGAAAATCAGAACAGGCTGTTTTCCTGGGTTATGACCTGGAAAGGCTTTGTGTGGCATTTTGAATTGTAGAACAAAGTACAAAGCAATAAAATGTTCACTTTGTACATATGGTTACAACCTTTTTGATTCTTGCCATTTTTTAAAGTGTTCATGTACAGGTTGGTAAAGAGCAGCTGTCCAGTTCCATAGGGGCTCCCCTGTACTCCAAGCTGTTTTAATCATTCTCATGTTCCAACAGCTGTCAAAAGCTAACATTATAACAAATGTAGGTAAAAATCTAATTGGCTTTGCTTGGAATTGATGAATCAGGACAGGGTCCTGTACTATAAAACAGATAAACAGCTCCCACTGGACATGACAAAACAATGTGTTTTGTAAGGTAGGAACAAGGAAACAGAACAACAGAAAAAGGAGATGGGTTAAAATCCAATTACTTCAAGTTACTTTTGAAAGAGTTAAGACAAGGGATTTGCTTAGGTCTTGGTGTTAGTGTTTCCAGATTCAAATTTTCATGCTATCCACCACTCAGAGTGATCTAAATTCAGGATATGGAGGCTGATGGAATAAATCAGGTTTGTTACTGGGCATGGTGGCACATGCCTGTAATCCCAGTGACTCAGGAACCTGAGGTAGGAAGATTGCAAGTTCAAGGCCAGCCTCAGCAACGTAAGGAGACAGACCCTAAGCAACTTAGCAAAACCCTGTCTCAAAAATTTAAAAGGGCTGGAGATGTAGCTCAGTAATAAATCCCCTGAGTTCAATTCCCAGTGACCATAAATAAATGAATGAATGGAAGGAAGAAAGAAAGAAAAATCAGGCTTATTCAAAGTCAGCCCTGAATAGGATGGAGTGAGTTTAACCTCAGAGCTCTATTTTTAGAGGGATTAGGCTTTTATGGGGACAAAAAAGGAAATGTAGTGCATAGGAAGGTTGTGTGCTGGGTGTAATCTTCATCTTCCAGGGTTGTGTCTCCTTTCTTGTCTCTGGCCAGACTTTGCAATGGACCTGGACCTTCTGCAGCTAGTTACAGCTAGTTAAACAAAACCTAAGGAAGGTTCAGTAAAATGTATTACAGAGGGATAAGGGAGTGGGGAGCAAAGGACGGTTTTAAAAAGGGGGCCCTGTTATAATTACCCCCTTGTTCTTTCCTCAACTTGAGAGATTGGGGGTAATGATTGATTTGGCTATTTCCTGCTGAATTAGTTTATAAATCTGGTTAGAGAAATGAAACCATTTAGCACTTGTCTGGACATGAGAGGGGAACAATCTGGGTATGTCCTGGTTGTTGGTCTAATCTGGTCTCACATCAGGGAGGAAGTGATACATGACTAAAAGTCAGTATGGAAACCCTTTTATATTATTATTATTATTAATTTCCTTGGAACTGTCAGAGCTCCTAGAGATGGAGCAGGAATTGCAAATAAAAGACTTCTCAGACTCTAAGGCACACAGAGATCACCTGGAGACCTTACTAAAAAGAGTATTATGGTTCCATGGGACAAGGATGGGCCAAGAGCCACATTTCTAATAAGCTCCCAGGTGATGGAGAGCTGCTGGTCTAAGTGTTATACTTGGAGAAACAAAGACCAATCTCTTCTTTTCCCACCAACATTAACAATTGTTAGGAACCAGGAGATCCATAAAAAGTTCAGACCCTATAAAGGTGGCCTAAGGTAGAGAAAGTGATCACTGCTTTCCACTAAGTGAGTGCCTTAATTGAGCAGGGATGACCAAGAGGCATGATTAATGGTTCCAACAGGAACATGCTGAAAAGATCTCACTTCATTTGCATGAGCTTCCCTGAGAACAAGTTTGCCCCGAGAGAATGAGGATGGGAGGCAGAAAATAGAGTGTGGACCAGAGTAGGGAGAGACTTTGGTGTTATATTTGAGAGTTCTGAAATTCCTGACTATGACAGAGAAATGTGAATGAGTTTAATGCTTGGAGTGGGCAAACTATTTTTTAAATTATTTTAGGATTCAAGGTAGCTTAGTGGTACTGTTTGTCTAGTATACCTGAGTCTCTGGGTTGATCCCCAATACCATAATAATAATAATACTTATTATTATTATTATTATATATTGATATAATATATAATATAATATTATCATATCCATGGTCATCTTTCAGCTGTGTGCTGTCTTTGGATCTTGAAGCTTTTTAATAGGTAGCTTTTAAGCAATGTCTGGGCAAAGGATAAACCTATGTTTCAGTCAGCTTTTTCCCTGCTGTGATTAAAGGACCCGACCAGAACAATTGTAAAGGAGGAAAGGTTTATTTAGGGGCTCCAGGTTTACGAGGTTTTAGTCCATACCAGGCCAGATTCATTCCTCGGGGCTCAAGGTGAGGCAGAACATCATGGTGGAAGAGTGTTGCCAAGGGAAGCAGCTCACATAATGATCAGAAAGCAGAGAGAGAGAGAGAGAGTCCACTTACCAGATACAAATATATACCCCAAAGCCACGTCCCAATTCCCACCTCCTCCAGCCATACCCTACCACTTTAATTACTACTCAGTTAGTCCCTATTGGGGGATTAATTCACTGATTGGGTTAAAACTCTTATAACCCAATCATTTCTCCTCTGAACCTGTTGCAGTATTTCACTTGCAGGTCAGCATGAGAAAGAAAGAAGAAGCAGAGCAAGCAAAGCAGCAGCAGAAAAAAAAGTGCTTTATTGTATACAAGCAATCTTTTTATAGTATTGTGAACAAAGAAGGCAGCCTTCCAACATCAATAAATCAGGTCCTTCAGCTAATTAAACATAGCACATAGAAGTGTTACTTTCTAATCAGAAGTGACCCGCTTCTCATGGCTAATCTACTCTCGGCCTGGAGCATGCCGAGCTCTGCTCTTGTTAAGAACAGATAATAAAGTTTTCTCTTAGCGCCCTCCTAGCCCACTTGGCAGAACATCCCATTTGCAGGCAAGTCCTCCCAAGGACAGCAGACACCTCATTTTCAAGCATGTCCGCTGTTACCTATCTGTACCTTGACAGAATATCCCGTTTGCAGGCAGACTCTATCAAGGACAGTAATAGTAACGCAGTCACATCTGATTCTCCACAGAACCTTCTTGAATTGCCTCACATGTGAGCTTTTGGGGGGCACCACATCTAAACCATAACAAGCTACATGATCTTTATGTGATTTTCCTACAACCAAAATAACTACTGGTCTGAACGGCATCTGGTGCCATCCGCGGCTTAAGGGCGGATGTGGGGCGGGAGCTTGGGGGGTTGGAGCTTGGGGTACCGGCTGCGGGGAAGCCAGGGGGATCCATTCTGTGGCTATGGAGAGTGAAAACTACAGGGTGCAGACATGGCCAAGTCTAAGAACCACACCACACACAACCAGTCCCGAAAATGGCACAGAAATGGCATCAAGAAACCCTGATCACAAAGATATGAATCTCTTAAGGGGATAGACACCAAGTTCCTGAGAAATATGCGTTTTGCCAAGAAGTACAATAAGAAGGGCCTGAAAAAAATGCAGGCAAACAACGCCAAGGCCTTGAGTGCACGTGCCGAGGCTATCAAGGCCCTTGCAAAGCCTAAGGAAGTTAAGCCCAAGATGCCAAAGGGTGCCAGCTGCAAGCTTGATCGCCTTGCCTTGCTAGCCCATCCCAAGCACACAAAGCGTGCTCTTGCCCACATGGCCAGGGAACGCAGGCTCAGCCGGCCAAAGGCCAAAGCCCAAGCCAAGACCCAGGCTGCAACTCCAGCATCGGCTCCGGCTCCAGCTGCAGCTCCAGCTCCGGCTCCAGCTCCTGTTCCCAAGGGTGCCCAGGCCCCCAAGGGTGCCCAGGTCCCTGCAAAGGCTCCATAAAAAAATCCTCTGGGTATAAGGACAGAAGGACTGGTGTGACCCCTGAGCCTCTGTCTATGGGAACTGGTGTCCTCCTGTGCTATAGTACAAATAAATCCAGAGGCAGGAAAAAAAAATAACTACCGATTTTTAAAGGGAAGATACCACATACCCTTTCAGCACAAAAGAAGGAAAACCCCTAAAAGCACAGTTTTGGCAAGTTCCTGTGAAGGACTTTCTGGTCAGATTTCAGGCAGACCCTCCTAGAAATTTCTCTTGCAGCAGAGAAGTTCTGGTGCTTGCTGATACTTCATGAACTTTGGCCGTGGCTTATCTCTCCTGAGGCATAGGGAAATCCATACCACACAGAAGCCCCATATATCTAGGAAGTGTGAGAAAGCTTCTCTCAGTTCCATGCTTACAACCCACCAACCTGTCACTCAGGGGAGAAGGGATGTGTTGGTTCCATCAATAGGAAATCCTTTGGACAGATTTCAGGCCTTAGGAAACGCCAGAAACTATGCACAGGAGTGAAATTCTATGTGTATACTTGTTATGGTTTAGATATTAGGTGTGTCCAAGCTCATGTGTGAGACAATGCAAGGAAGTTTAGAGGGGAAATGGTTGGGTTATGAAAACTAACCCCCTCTTATAGATTAACTGGGTGGTAATCATAGACAGGGTGTGGCTGGAGGAGGTGGGTCATTGGGGAAGTGTCTTTGGGGTTTATAATTTGTCCCTGGTGTTTGAGAACTCACTTTCTGATTCCTGGTGGCTATGTCTGAACCACTTTCCTCCACTACACCCTTCCACTGTGATGTTCTGCCACACCTTGGGCCCAGAGCAATGGAGTCAGCTGTTTATGGACTAAGACCTCTGAAACTGAGCCCCCCAAGAAACTTTTATTCCTCTAAAATTGTTCTTGTTAGTTCTTTTGGTCACCATAGAAAAAAAAAAGCTGACTAAAACAGTACTGAAGATGAGGGAGTATTCACCCTGAGTTCTGCTCTTGTTGTCTACCAGAATATCCTCTTAGACAGAAGCCACTAAAGCAGTGGGCATGGGAAAGACTTCCTCTGGATCATTTTTCATATATCATGTCACAGAAGCCACAACAGGAAGGAGCACACAGGGATGATGGCCAAGCAGTGATTCACTGATTTCTTAGGTCTTTTCCCAGCATGGGTTCTCTGGTGCCTTGTCAGGTTTCTGCTCTGGCTGAGGCCTTCCCATACACCTTTTTTCCTCAGTACTTCTCCCCACTGCAGCTCACTGGTGCAGGCACAGCCTTTGGCGCTCACTGCAGTTTTTCACTCTTACCACACTCAAGGGTCTTCTCCAAAGTGGCCTTGATTTTCCACAATTACCTTAGAGAACTTCTTCATGTTGTGGACTCTGGTGGACAACACTGGCTGGGCTCGAGGTAAAACGTTACATATGTAGATCTTTCCTTTTACAGTATGTGGTTGCTGATGTTGCCTAATTCTAGCCAAAAGATTTGGCACAGTTGTGTCATTTGGAAATAAGGGATGCTCACAAAAAAAAACAAGAGTCTTGCAGAGGATGAAAAACAATCACCCAAGGAATGGGTGGTAAAGGCCATGAAGAGAGTGCTATCTCACTGTATCCTAAACCAGGGCCCTCAATTGGCACAGTTGTGTCATTTGGAAATAAGGGATGCTCACAAAAAAACAAGATTCTTACAGAGGATGAAAAACAATCACCCAAGGAATGGGTGGTAAAGGCCATGAAGAGGGTGCTATCTCACTGTATCCTAAACCAGGACCCTCAGTAGAAGAGGGTTGACATAGGACAGGGAAAGGAAATGCTAGAAAGGCCCAGTATATCTAGCCCATACACCTCCCTGTTTCTGCTTTGCCCATTTGATTTTTCACTGCATCAACAAACAGGAAAGGAGGCACACAGGAAGGAATGAAAGGGGTATAAGAGACACTAATATAATGCCACAAAATCCTTGTTCACTAATCACAATGTATGTAAATACATTATGTTTCCTTATTAAGAGGCACAGAAAGAGAGAGATGTTTTGCAAGTAACTCACCTAAAACTAAACAATAGAAAAGGTTGAAAATGGAGGGAGAAAAATATGCCAAATTCTAAGAACAACAAAACTGGGTAGAAATAGTAAAGTGAGATGACACAGACTCCAAAAATAAGCATTTAAAATGCTTTAAAACAGAACATTTTCTATTGATTTTAAAAATGAACAATCTCCAAGTCATCAGGAAACCTATAAGTTACCCTTATTCTCCATCCTCCCACCTCTAAAACATCAGCAAGCCCAGTTCACTCTTTTTCCAAAATACCTTGTAAATCCACTCATGTCTTTCCATTCTCCACAGTGTCCAAATCTGGCCACCATCCTCTCTCAAAGGCAATCTTGTAATACTGACCTATTTGGACCCATAATCAGTTTCCTCCATGCAACCTCAGATTCATTAACCTGGTCCACATGGCCTGGGAAAGCAGGCCCTTACCTACTCAACAGCATCTCTGAAGCTGTCACTCCTATCCAGGTACAGTCATCTCTCTTCCATTATCTGTCAGCTAACAGGTCATTCCCCAAGGTGTTTGCAACAACCGTTCCCTCTTCCTGACATTTTTGTGTGGTTGCTTTGTTTTGTGGTTCTGGAGATTAAACCCAGAGCCTCATGCATGCTATGCAAACACTCTACCACTGAGCTACACCCCCAGTTGGTCACTCTGCCTGGAGTGCTCCTCTCCCACGTTTTCAAGGGCATAGAAACATGTTTTCATTTCATGTTCAATTTAAATGGCACCTCCTAAGACAAGAATATGATTTTTTTGCAGTACTGGGGATTGACTGGGAATTGACCACTGAGCAACATCCCCTTAGGCCACACACACACACACACACCACACATATATACATATATATGTACACATATATTCATATATACATACATACACACATATTTTATTGAGACAGGTTCTAATTTGCTAAGTCTAGCCTCAAAAATCCTCCTGCATCAGCCTTCAAGCTGCTGGGATTATGGATGTGTGCCGTCATGACCAGCAAGAGGATGAATTTTTAAAAAATTGTATCTGTAGATATAAAAGCATAAGAATTACTGTAATTTTCTTCCAATTTATTACCTTTATAAACAAACTTCCAAATGTGTGGACTACTAATATTAGTCTGTTAAATATTGAAGTATGATGAAAACAGATACTTGAGGATTCTCCTTCAAATAGTTCTATTATTTCTCTGCACAGCATTTATTTCCTGTGATTTGTTTGTTTTTCTCCACTAGGAGGCGCCTCTATCCTGTCTGTGACTGTGTTCTCAGGACCCTGGACAGTGCCTGCTACAAAGTAAATGTTCCGTTGCTATGTATTGAAGAGTTGTAGTGAACTCACATGTACTTCTGCATTTATCAGTAAAGCTTTAAATTATATAAGGTAAATATTAATGGATCTACAAAAATAAGCAATAAGAGTGAGATACCAATCTATTTCCCTTAGAAACATCCTAAGCAAAGATACTATGTAACCAAAGGTAGATAAATGAGTACTGTTACTATACCTTTCTGGATTATTTTTTTTTTGGAATTGCCATGCATTATTTTTATAAATGGGATCAAATGTCACTTTTTAACACACCACACACCTAAAGAGGTGGACAAATCCACTCAAGGATTCAAAGTTCATACCAAGATGGAATGTGACAGGAAGGTGCATAGCTTAGCACCTCTAGGATTTTGGGTTATTTCAATATATATAACTGCTTGAGTTTTTTGAAAAGTTTAATATATAACTAACAACCCCTTCTGCAGCCGAGACAAACTGCCAGCCCCCTTCTTTCACCTAGAATCATCAGAACTGTGTTGTTCTGTGTTGAAGGTCTACATGCCCTCACCAGCATGGGGTAACACACCAAGAATGCTAAAGAATTACAGGGACTGGCCTAAGAAATTAAAGCAGATTGTTATCTCAAGGATATCCCAATAGAATAGGAAAGAAATCAGAAGCCCTGAATGATGAAGACCCTGCTCAGCACCTATCCTTTCTGCCCATTGTCCCTGCACCTTCTTTCTTCCCCCATTAAAGTCCTTTTCTATACCTGAGTTCCCTAAGTTGGTACTTTGAGGATGATAGCACACTCCACCTTTTCAGAAACAGTGCTTGAATAATTCTGATTTCCTCCTCACAGGCTTCCTTGGGTATTTAGCTCACAGAGAGTAGACTGTGGGACTTCTCAGCCATTATAGGAACCCGATTTCTATAAAAAATTCACTATATATATAGATTATATATAACATATTATAAATAAAATATATTTAGAAACAATATGAAACTTAATATAAATGACTGTATGTGACAAGATCAGTTGTGGGGGTGTTATTACAGCTCAGTGGCAGAGCACTTGCTAGCACTGTGAGGCACTGAGTTTGATCCTTAGCACTACACAAAAATAAACGTATCTAAAACCAAAAAAAAAAAATTTAAATGGTCAATTGTGTATCTCAATTTGGCTCTAGCTTACAAATGGTAGTTGTAGGATATATCCATGATATCTGGAGAACACTAATACGTGTGTGTGACTGTGTGTGTGTGTGTTTGTACACAATGATAGGCTAAACCAAATGAAGGTGACAGTTCAGAAATTGCTTGGTATAATGTAAATTAGAAGAAGGAGTCTAAACACATAAATGGAAGCCAGCTATAACAAGTTAGTTTCCCAAGTGATATTTCCAGAAATTTTTAGAGGTTGGCTTTTGCTATGGATTTTGAAACTGTAGGAGCAGAGAATTGTTCAGAACAGGGGTGAGTGATTAGGATTAATAAAATGAAACAAAATTCTAGCAAGAGGCCTAGAAAAGTCTCATGAAAAAAGATACATGAAATGATCAAAAGTGTTTCTTTTAGAGAAGAGTTGTAGCATTTATCCTAGTCCAAAAAAATAAAGAAGAAATAAACCAAATTGCTAAACAATTGGCCCTTTCACATATAGTAGCTCCTACTATAGCTTTACTCTCCAAATTTATGCATGATTGACAAGTATGTTTCTTCTAATCCT